GTACAATTTTCAGCATATATACATATATATTTAATGATATTTAAATTTTTCAAAGAATGAAAGCATTGTTACTATCATGTATTCACAATATTACTTTTGACATTTTCATTATGTCTGTATGTACTCTAAAGAGACCTAATTAGAAAGAATCAAGATTAAAAATAATATACCTTTAGATTAAGAAGAGAAAATTGAACAAAGTTGAACACTAGATATCCAAGTTAGCTAGGCCAAAAAATTTATAAAGAGCAGCACATTTGGATGGTTGCAAGCCTAATATTTTTTTCCTCTTCAGAAGATCGATAGTTGATTTGGAAACTAATTTGGAAATGGCTTAGCAGCAAACTGATTTGGAAATGAAGACTCATTCTTTGTTTTATAAATACCTTGATTTTACATTCTTAATTTCCCTGTCAAGAGTCTGCTCTTCTATTCACCATAAACAAATATGAGCATCTTTCTGATCTTTTAACAATTGTGTGACGTTCAAAACTGTGATGGTTGATCTTTAGTTCTTGTAAGATGTTGCGAACTATTTCCATGATGGCAAGACTAGATCCAATTCCCCAGGATAATGCTTCTTGGATTGGATAAGATTAATTGATGCAGTTCTCATTACCACCTGGCTTCCAACCTTCCCCTTTGATGCAAGTTACAGTAGCAGCTATGTCATTTTAGAAAAAGCATAGAACCAATCCTACATAAGGGAAAAAAAATATAACATTCATAACCATGTACCAGTACAGAAGCTTACAACCATAACATCTGTTATACCATTGCATGTATTCAGTCAATGAATATAATCTACCAAAATGAAAGGCCAAAATAACCGTATCTAAAGGTAAAAATGGAAAAGCTAGCATACCTAAGAATGATAAAAAGGCAATATACATCAACTTTTGTAGATAAATCAATATATCATGTGCAATATCATCATGAATGATTAGGGATCAGCGAAACAAAAAATTACAAGTCATGGAATGAATGAAAGGCTAATAGCTCATCAAAAGAAATAGAAACAGGCCACTACGGGGATGTGATGAGTAATCAACAAAATTCAACATCAAATGCAAGTTACCTCTTGCTAAAGCTTTTTCTTTCAGCTTCACTTCCCATGCTGTAGGTCCCAAAAGAAACAGATGAGTGCAAGTTGTAAAAGTCTACATGTGTCACAAGTTCAATCTCCTTGATATATATACCTCCTACCGTTGGTTAAGTTCAACTGCCATAACCAATCTTCCTCTCTTTCCTCTTCAATTCCTCGGATAATTTGAACAATGCAAATCAGAAAACCATAATCACCGCTGAATTTCAGAATACAATTGCAAACTGACATGCGTGGAGATGGAAATAGGTAAATACACTATCCTCAAAACTGGGTCTAGTAACAGCAGCAGAGGGATTTCATGATTTGCATCATGACCATAGTTTAGAGCAACTGGTTCTGGAGGAAGAGGTGAAAACCTTGAAGGGTTATACAAATTCATGATTATTGATCAGTAATCAAAATCATATTATTAAAAAAAAAATCTTATAAATTTGAAAAGAAAAGAAGATTAACATAGGAAGCATTAACTCCTAATTCATAAAAATGGTTTATAACAGCTTGATAGCTCCCTATATTATCATCATCTTCATAATTTGGGGATTTGGGATGTTTCTTAATAGAAAACAGCAAGTGAAACATACCACGTGTGTTGGGGACAAAGAGCACTGATGTTGGATTCTTACCAATTTGCCTAGGTTTCTCAATTTGCAAGTAGTTGTCACATTATATTCTTGAACAATCCCAGGTGTTCCATAACTGATAAGAAAAATGGAAAATGGAAGTCAGGAAGAAAGTTAGATTAACATGATGGATTCCAAAATGTATCTTCAAATAAAAAACTTGCTCTTGGAGCACAAAACCCAGAAGAATTTGGATGGTCGATGAAATAGAAAGCCTTCGATCGAAAACCAGAAACTTACATAACATTGATCTGAAGCTTACTATGCTTGTACATCCACCAGACATAGCTCCAAACACTAACACATAGCTCTTTCCTAACTCCTGCCGTGTTTGGCTATGGCAGCAAGGTTCATAAAAACCAAAAGAATTTGGATGGAATAGATAGCCTTGGATCGAAAACTAGAAACTTACATAGCATTGATCTGAGGTTTGTTACGTTTTGCATCCACCACTCAAACACCAACACATCAACTTCTTTCTAGCTCCTACCATGTTTGGCTGTGGCTGCAAGGTTCACCAATCATCTCAGCACAGTATGATATGTTGCATGGTATGAATTAGACTCCAGTATGAAGGAAGCCCAGTAGTACTCAATTGATGCATTGTACTCCTGATACCTGAAACACATTTCCAAAGCTCAAAAAACAATGATCTAGTGTCTGACATGCATATTTCAATTTTATAAGATTTTTTCATTAATTTCAAGTATTCAAGTCTTTTTAAATAGACATACGATTCAAACAATTTAACACATGTTTAAATGTGGATTTATTAGTATAAAGTGAAAAATTCATGTAATATAAGAAAACAGAATAGGTAGAAGAGTCATGGTACCTCAGCTTTAAAGATCTTCATGGGAGGAATTCTACGGAAGGATTTCTTCTCCTTAGGAATCACAGATTGCATCACACAAACCATTGACTTGAACTGGGCTCTCTGCGCTGAATCTCCTACAAATATCAAATCAATCTTTTGGTCCTTAAGATGTCCAACAGTTCAGTGGATCAAAATTAAGACACAGAAAAGACATTTCAAATGCCATGAAATCGGATGAAACAAATGCACCTTTAAAACTCCTAGACAAATGAAACCCAATTTAGATAATCAAGATAACTGGAAACTATTTCCTTTTGTGTAGCACACTAAGAACATAAAAAATAACTAACCTCAGTAGTTGACAGGAATTAGGCTGCCACCACCAGTGTTGATATAGAGAATCAGGCCTCCCATTGTAGATGAAGAAGAACTAGATCTATAATTGTCAAACCAAAAGGAAGAACGAGATCCAATGAAGAATTATGGCTAGGAAGAAGAAGTAGAAACCTCATCCTGCTAATCTGCAGAAATTAACTCTCTGGAAGAACGATGAGATATTGCCTTGCTTGGAATCCTTTACTTTCCCTGCTTTCTTGTCTCCTGCTTTCCTTCCCACATAAGGAGTAGTGCTTCCTACTGCAGGAAACTTCTTGGGTGCTGGGTGCCGGAGGCCTGCATTGAAAGACCAAACAGTTAGAGTGTTGTTCTTAGGCTCTAGCTTAGTCACATTCTAAAATGGGCATATGATGAAATCAACTAAAACAACATAGCCAAGTATACAAACCTCCAATTACTTGAATTAATCAGCAAAGGCAAAACAAATAGTCAGAAGCACTCTATAGTTGTAATCACTTCTAGAATATATATTTCCATTCGACTATCGAAGCGAGTCTAATGGGAATTAACCTTATAACAAAAAATACTAATTCTCTACATGAAAAAAACCTCTCAATTGACAGCTCCCTACTTTTCACATAAACAAGTTCTTATTTATGATTTAAATACCAATTCTCTGGATGCACCCTTGCCAGATGCTAAACAAGAATCATCATTAACCAAGATATGTACTGTCACAAAAAAAGAACAAAAAATAAAAATATGTTCAAGAAAATAATGAAGAGAAAATAACATTAACCTGTTGCTAGTATTGATCACTGCTTTATTGTCAGCCTTCTTTATAGTTCCACTTTCAACTTTCACCACCTCTTCTGCTTCAACCTCTAAAAATATCAAAATATATTCAGGAAAATAATTTTCATGTATGGTAGCAAAAGAAATTATCAACAAAACTGCTAGTATAAAACATAAACAAGAGATAGTGAAATCTATACTTACTGGTTGGAGTTTGTGAGCCAGCAAAGGCTGGTCATCTTTGTCTTCTAGAATATACCCACCTAGGGTTTCAATCTCGGACATACCGTTTTCTCTTCTAGAATACCCAATTGTTTTCACTGAGAGAGGACAAAAGGGACGAATTGAGGAAGAGGTTTTTATTGGCACGTGTCATGAGGTGGCACGCGACTTTGATTTCTGGAAAGGAACGATTTGTCAACAACTCCCTTTGCAGTTTGCCTCTATTTGCTTCACACTACACAAATTATTTCCCAAATTTTCACATACTATAATGTATTCTCAAATCAAATTAAAATAGTTAATCAATTAACACCTTACCCTCAATCACCACCAATGATATTTCAGGAAAGGTTGAAGGAGGTTCTTAGCATTAGGATCATCCCACTCCACTGATTCCCACCATTCTTTCGAATTTTTATTTATCTCGATTTTTTTAAGTCGAGGAAGAGGAGATGAGTGGCCATTATCAAGCTGGGGAAGCTGCAAAGGGATCCTCTTTAACTCTGGACACGTCCATATAGTAATTTCTTCAATAGAATCGCAAACCATAACTCCTTTGGCACTGCAGATGCTCCTCAATTGGGGTAGAAACCCCAATGCCAATTTCCTTAACCTGGGAAAAAGAAATTTATCTGATGATGCGTCTGAATCTGATGATACTATTATCTGCTCCATTTGGCTGCAATTCCAAACTTTAATTTCCTCTAAGTTTTGGAGAGCTTGCAGTAGATCAAGTGGAAATAACTTCCTTATTCCTGAACATACACGTATCTCAAGTTCTCTAAGATTGGAAAAGATGCGCGGTGGTATTGCCACTCCTTCCACTCTCACAAGTTCACACAATCTAGGCAACCTGAACAGCTCAAGCTTATCAAGTACTGGACAACACTATTGGGAGGAGGACGATGATGCGTCCAACTCAACTAGGCACTCCATCTCTTCACTATTCCAAATAGTGCACCTCTTCAACTTATTTGCTTTTTCTACCAGAGCTATATTGTTTAAGATGCTTCTCATGTTTTTAACCTCAACTATGAACAAATCTTCAAGGTTGTTTGGAAGCACTATACATTCTTCCCCGATCTTGCAATCATTAATTACAAGCTCATATTTGCTCTGTCTAATCATACCTTCAGCTCTTCCAACCATGAGACTGTAAGCAACAGCACTTTGGAAATCTTTGAACTTGTCGACAAAATAATTGAAGTCTCGGATGTCATCAAATTGACATTCTAAAGTCTCCAAATTCTTCAATCTAGCAGCCTCCTCAAAATTTGTCACTTTTGTAGTTCCTCGCAAACAACGTACTGCCAAGTACTGCAGACCGGAAAGGTTAGATAATATTCCTGTTGGAATCTCTTTCAGATTTGGACAAAATAACAAATTAAGATATTCAAGACTTATCAACATCTCCATGCCTTCAGGGACCACCTCAATCCCTGCCTTGTGCAGGTCCAACTTCTTCAATCCCTTAAGGTTTGCCAAAGAAGGCAAGTACTTTAATTTCTCACAAAACTGTAACCGCATGGCAGATAGATTCTTCAATTTAGAGACGGAATTAGGTAGAGTCTCAATAGCAGTGCTAGATAGATCAAGAACCTTCAAATCAAGCATCTCTTCAAAAAAAGATTCTGGAATCTCTGACAAATTTGGATTACTTGATAATATCAAAGTTGAAAGGGTTGAACACTTTGGGGATAGACTGAGAGGAACTTTTAAAATGTTATTTTCCATTAGAGACAACTTCTTCGGATCTTCTACCCAACCATGCTCATCTTGTAGCTCTACCAAATTCATACCGACTTTAATCATATATCCAAATTCAGGAGCAATGCTTACAATCGCCATGTCTCTCATTACATCATGCATCTTAACAGCAGCACTACCAAAACTAACGGTACCATCACCTTCACGAAATTCACCTGAGTAAAAAGTATCTTCCTCTAATAAGAAATTTTTTTCAAGCCTATCTATAATAGCATGACCCCTATTATAAGCTGTTTCTCTCTTTCTACTTGGCAACCCATTAATTAGTTCTTCATCAATCCAACATTCTATCAACTCCCTTCTAGAAAACACATAATCCTCCCGAAAGAAGGAGCAATAAAGAAAACAATTCTTGACTTCCCAATTATCCAACCGATCAAAACTAAATCTTAATCTCTTAAATATCTCATCGTTTGAATGTTTCACACTCTTTACACGATCTCGTAATTCAACCAGTGCATTTCTCCACACATTAACATCATCAACTCCCCTCATACTCCCAGCTATCACAACAATGGCCAGTGGTAAGCCGGCACACTCTTCCACAATAAGCTTCAATATTTCTTCCAACCCTGGAACTTGTAAAACATCATCCCCAACCCTATCGAGGAATAACTTTAGAGACTCCTCTTGTGAAAGAGGTTGCACTTTAACAATCTTACAACGCAAATGACTGCATACTTCAATTGATCTACTAGTGACAACTACTTTGCACCCATTATGAGCCTTAGGATCTGGAATTCCAACATCATTAAGAGAGAACATGTCCCATACATCATCTAATATTACCACATATCTCACTCTTCTCATTATTTCCATTAGTGCTGCTGCTCGCATCATCTCCTCTTCATCTTCTGGAAGTCTTTCGCCCATGGCACTAGCAATCTTCTTTTGTAATTCAAAAACATTGAGAGGATGTGACACAGTAACCCATATCACTTTCTGAAATCTAGTCTCCCTTTGTAAATCATTGTGGAGATTCTTCATGATCGTTGTCTTTCCAACTCCACCAATCCCACAAACTCCTATCATTCCAACCTCATCACCCATCAAGTACCCCCAAATTTCTTCTTTAGTAGAAATTTCGCCCACTAAATTCTCTGTTGGAATTATGTTTCCATGTGCTGGAGCTCTCTCAATAACAAGGCCTTCAGTGAAACTACCTTTTTCAAGCATTTCCTTCACCACATTAATTTTTCTGCAAACACGTTTGTCAAGACAGGCACGCTTGTACCACTTGACTCCCTGCACCTTTTCTAAAAATGCTCGCACATCAACATTGATCTCTTGTGCTTGCTTACGCCATTCTTGCACTTGTTGTCTAACCGTTCGTCCGCCGCGAGCCTCTGCTTCTTCTATTCTTGATTCTATATCTTGTTTCTGGCTAGTTAGACTATCCAGTTTTCTTCTCAGCTCATCCACATCATCATTAAAATTTCGATATTGATCTATACAGTTGCAGGTTGGAGTACCACAAATGCAATTCAATGCACCGAAGATTGCCCCTACTATGTCCGCCATTAAAAATGGTCCTGAAACATAATAAATAATGTGAATAAAAATATACTTCTTCTAGTGTTCGTCAACAGAAAATTCACAAGCATAAATAAACAATAAAAAAAAAAGTTAAATTAAATTATCAATTCCTTCTCATCAAAGTAAATTACCAATTCCAACCACATATAGGAGGTATAAAATTAAACCATACATTACCAAAGGAAATGAGAAACAAACAACTATATATATATATTATTATATAAATGAATAAGTTAGTTGAAATACTAATTTTATCCCGTTCGCCTCCTTGTTTGGCGGCAGATGTATTCATCCAATTAAATAAATATGCTAATGGCTTAAGTAATGAACAAGGTTTGAAACTCTCACTAAATTCATAATTGTTTTATAGTTCTATTTTGCTCAAATAAAGTACTAAAGTAATTGAAATTTTCAAATAAAGTTACAATTAGACCGAAACTGTTAAGTCTAACATTATTAAGTCTAAGTGACTATTGACTAAATATCCACTTAAAGTTGTTAATAATTGAAAAGTTCAATTGATTATACTTGTTGAGGTCGTCAAACACATTTTGTTTTGGGACATGTCGTCAAACACTTTTATTATTAAGAACTAGTGCTAATTAATTGAAAATTTTCAGTTTAAGTTGGGTTGGTATTCAGAATTAGCCAAAACTGCATTATTTTAGAATTTGGCTAAACATTGAATAAGGTCTCATACTTTCACTAAGTTCACAATTGAGATCCCAAAATTCATTTCGCTCAAATAATGTTACGAAATAAGGACCAAATTGGACAAAAATTATTATTTGTTAATAAATATCTAAAATGCATGATCCCTAGCCTTTCTACTTTATCTTGTAATAACCTTAAAGGTTTCAATTACCTCCAAATGCTTCTTAAGCTTATTCGTTTTGATGATGTGTCAATTTTGTAAGACCTATAACTAAAAATTAAAATTTTATTTTAATTATGTAACATTTATGTGACCCATTATAAAAAAAAAAAGTTGCATTATTATTTTTTACAATGGTAACAAACAAATTGTATCATATAGCTAAATTGTCAGCCATAAAAAAAGAGTTAAATAAAAAAGGAACAAAGGAAATGTGGTATTATAGACAGTTTACAAATTCATCATCATTTTTATAATAAATAAAATAAAAAAATTAGGTTTCATAAAATAAAAAAAGAAGAGAGATTAGGTTATTTAAGTATGTTAAGTATAGTTGTAGCTTTTAGTTTTAGTTTTCAAAATTCAAACAATTAAAATTAAAAATTAAAAATTAAAATTAAAAATTAAAATTACCAACTTGGTGGGTATAAAATTTAAAAATGAATATCCAAAACCCTAAATTTCTTCAATTTATAGAAATTCTTAATTTGATTTTAGGGTATCTAAATTTTTTATTTTCAATAGTTTCAAAATTTTTAGAAACCAAAATTAAAAACTCAAAACCAAAACCATAATATGATTATGGTTCTTGGTTTAACTAAATTACCTCAAGTAACCAAAAATGTAGATCAAATTAACACTTGAGTAGGCAAATTTTGCAACTACTAAAAAAACTAAAATAAAAATAAAAAACTAACAATTTGTTTAAGATTAATTTTAATACTTACTACAAAAAACCATAAACTTATATGATAGTATTAAACTATTTTTGTTCTTATTTTTTAATAATTTTGATAATATGTTATAAAAACACATGAAAGTAATTGTAGGTTTAATTTTTATTTAGAATTGTAAAATTTATAAAAATCATAACCATGCCGAACGAAACTTTAGTTGAGTTGGTGAATTTGACACTGGTATTTTGATTATTCAAATAAAGTTGATTAATAACCAGGCTGATAATGGACTCAAATAAAATTTGTTGAATATGGTTTTATAGATTTTAAACCAAAGCATAACCAAGAAAAAAAAAAGGCTCAACACTACTGGAAAACTGGGCAAAAACGACAAATACATATTCGACAGCCAAGAAGCTGTCGAATAAAATGACATATTCGACAGGAACGGTGTCGAATAAGATTGATTGTCGATGATAATCGATTTTTTGCCACATATTCGACATAAAACTTATTCGACACCTTTCTTGTCGAAGATGTCATTTTATTCGACAGCTTTTAGGCTGTCGAATATATATAATCGACAGCCTGTTGGCTGTCGATTATGTTCCTTATATATTCGACAGCATTGCTGTCGAATGTATGGGAAACGACGTCGTTTCCCTGTATATTCGACAGCAATGCTGTCGAATATACTCGTCTTTAACCCCCACGTCCCTCCTCCTTTCCCCCATTTCTTCTTCTTCCTCTGCGGCAGATCTGGTTCATTTTCTCCGGCCCTGTTCTTGCCGGTCCCGCCGGATTCTGGCTTGTTGCCATCGATCCCCCTGCTTTGTGATCACCTCTAAGCCGGTGAGTTGGCCCCTGCGCAGATCTGGTCCTTTTTCTTTTTTTTTTTTGTTTCCTTTGATTTACATTTCGATATTTGCAGATTTTTTTGTAGATCCGTGCATTTTAGTGCAAGATCCATCACCTCTAAGCCTCCACGCGCCTCCATCCTTCCTTTTGTAAGTTGCAGCAGAGGTTGTTATTTATTTATTTTTTTTTCGTTTTTTTTTGTTTCTTTTTTTATTTTTTCCTTGAAATTTAGTTTACAAAACTTTAATTTCGTTTATTGTATGTCAAAATCCAGCTTTTACTACCTTCATTGCCTCCGCAGCATTACAGTCCCCATTGACAAAGGTAATTGATATTTTT